TCTAAATTATTTATCGTACAATAATTTTTTTGCAGCGAATTATCAAAATACATACTATTATATACTGAAAAATAAAAAAACTCAATTTTTATTAATTTTTTTCCCTTTTCACATTTTTTTGGGTGAGTTAAATAATTGATTTGCAAACTGCGGATAGGTCACACATGACATATAAAAAATAGTTCCACATACATGTTAGTTTTTTGATTAATTGTTGTACCACGTCGATGTATACCAAAGATGTGTAGGATCTTTTTAGTATAAATAGGTCACTTGCCTTTGGGTTACAATTGCACCTTATTCTATTTTCTCCTATTTAGAAGGAAATCCTTAATTAAGGAAATCCTATTTTGTGGGTTATTTAACCCTAGTTGTATTTTGTTTGTGAGTTTAGTAAATTTGGCTGCGGTTAGCGGTGCCCGGAGACGTAGGCTATTTTCGCCGAACTCCGTTATCAATTTTTGTTTTCTTCCCTTTTATTTATTTGTGTTGGCTTATTTTCGTTTGGAGTAGTGTTCGCCATATTCGTTGGAGGGGTATTTTTGTCCGCTGCGCTTGTTGTGATACCCCAACAAGTGGTATTAGAGACGAAGGTTCATCCCAGGCTCATTTGGAGAGGCGAGCACTGCATTCGGGTCCGAGATGTCCAAGGAGGTCAAGGGCGCATCATCCTCTGCATTCATTCCGGCAAGGACGGTGATGCCGAACGTCAGGCTCCCAGTGGAGATCTTCGACGGGACAGGTCATTTCGGTATGTGGCAAGGCGAGGTGTTGGATTGTCTATTTCAGCAAGGCGTTGACATTGCGATTGAAGAAAAAATGCCAACAGACGTTGAAGAGAAGGACTGGAAGAATATCAACCGCTTAGCATGTGGAACAATTCGTTCGTGTTTGTCGAGGGAGCAGAAGTACGCGTTCAAGAATGAGAACTCTGCTCACACTCTGTGGAAGGCTTTGGAGTTTAAATTTCTTGAAGAAAAGCGGCCTGAATAAGCTCCTCATGAAGAAACGATTGTTCCGATTCGAGTACCGGCATGGCACATCGATGAATGATCACGTCACTGCATTCAATCAGTTAGTTGCAGATTTGTTGAACTTGGACGTCACATTCAGCGATGAAAATTTGGCTCTTATGTTGTTATCATCACTTCTAGATGACTTTGAGCACTTAGAAACTACTCTGCTCCATGGGAAGGACGATGTAACTCTTGCAGTGGTCAGTTCTGCTCTGTATAGCTATGAGTTGACAAAGAAGAACAAACAAGAGACGAAGAATGCAACAGCAGAAGATGAAGCGTTAGTTGCAAGAGGTCGGTCGAAGAGCCAAAAGAAGAATGGACGAGGAAGATCACGTTCCAAAGCCAAGCTTGAAAAAGAGGAGTGTGTTTTCTGACATGAGAAGGGACACTGGAAGAAAGACTGTCCTAAGTTGAAGAAGAAGGACAAATCTCCTCAAGATGCATATGTTGCTGAGGGTGGAAGTGAAGACTCAGAATTTTCACTTGTGGTTTCACCTTCATCATCTCATCCAGACGAATGGATTTTGGATTCAGGATGCACCTACCATATGTCTCCCATAAGGGAGTGGTTCTTCAATTTTCAGGAGATCAATGGAGGGGTTGTCTATATGGGTAATGATAATACCTGTAAGACAACTGGGATAGGTTCAATCCGTTTGAAGAATCGCGATGGTTCCACCAGAGTTTTGACGGATGTTCGGTACGTGCCGAGTTTGAAGAAAAACCTCATCTCATTAGGAGCCTTGGAATCCAAAGGCTTGGTAGTGACTTTGCGAGATGGATTTATGAAGGCTACATCCGGCTCGCTCGTGGTGATGAAAGGCATAAGGAGGAATAATTTGTATTACTATGAAGGTGATACGGTCGTTGGGACAGTAACAGTAGCAGATTCCACCAACAAGGAGTCTAAAATAGTCAAGTTGTGGCATATGCGTTTGGGACATG